GACTCGTTCATGTCGAGCCGTGTCGGCCTGCAGCAATGCACACCTGATGGCGTAATCGGAGGCATCGCAGACGACGCTAAACGGCCTCGTCTCGTCCGGCAGGACCAGGACAGGGGCTCTTTGAGACTGGCCTTGATGCTGTCAAAGGCATCCTGGTGCTCTTGCTCCCAGCGCCAGTCGACGTCCTTCTGAAGGAGGCCCGACAAGGGCTTAGCGAAGCCCGCGTACCCTGCACTGTACTTGTGAAGGTAGTTGGCCAAACCCAACCACTTTCGAAGATCCTTCTGGGATTGGGGCGTTGGCCATGCTGTTATGGCCTTGACCTTGTCTGGGTTAGCCCGAGCGCCCACGTTGCTTACGAATCAACCGAGAACCTTGATCTCTGGTGACGCGAAGACGCACTTGTCGATGTTGGCGTAGAGCTTGTTCGCTCGCATTACGTCCAACACTCGACGTATGACCGTCTCGCCTCCCTCGGCACGGCTATGGACGAAGGTGTCGTCGAAGTACGTCTGTACGAGGGCGCGCAGTGCCTAAGCAATTGCGTCACCAGGCGGTTGAACGTCGCCGGGGCGTTAGACAAGCCCTGCGGCATGACGATCCACTCCCAAAGCATGCCGCTTGGAGTGCTCACCGCGGTGAGTGGGATGTCGCTCCCTCGCATCAGGATCTGATAGTATCCGTTTACCAAATCCAGCGCATTGTACAGTACGCTTCCGGCCATGTTGTTCAACAACACATCCTTTCGTGGGATTAGTGTTTGGGCCGGCACCGTCGCGCTGTTCAGCTTGTTATAAGCGTGAGCTAGACGCTACTTCCCGTTCGGCTTCCGAACGCAGAAAGTTGACGTCGAGTGCGGGAACTTTGACTCCCGAACCATGCCTGCTTTCGCTTTCGCAGCGAAGAAGGCATCAACGACCTCGCACTATTTGCGTGGAAGAGGCCATTGTTTCGTGACACTGTACTTTGTGTCAGGCACGAGATCGCTCTCATGCCGTACGCCTCGATCTGGTGGGAGTTGGATCGGTGGGTGCTTGTTCACCACGGCCGCATACTCCATCACCAAAGGATACACTGGATCCAGGAACTTGTTAAGGATCTTAGAACCCAAGCGCGTCTGCTCAACTCTTCTAGGGCGTCCTCGTCCAGGACAAAGGCTCCTCCCAAGTGGCCTCTGGTCATATGAGCACCATTTCGGCAATCTCCCCAGCTTTGAGTCTGGCCAGGAAAGGCTCGGCCGCCATTTCCTCGATCGCTTTTACCTCTGGCAACGGCTCCAAGTGGACACCAGAATCCTTGACGGGTAAACCGGTCTCGCCATCGAAGATGTGATAACACTCTTCCACCGGCCGCGTCGTCATCGTCGTCGACGGCGACCTTGACGTGGATATTCGTTACCCACGTCTGGGGATGCCGTGACGTCGACATCCGAGGCACTCGAGGCCTCGTGTGGTACTGTGTTACCCACACAGGAAGCGTATCCAACGTCTTCCTCTTCCGGTATGTTATGGGCGATCGCGTGTGGAGATCTGTTACCCACATTTGGCACGCTATTACCAGCGTCCGTGACAGCTGCAGGGACGATGCTACCGGCTTGTGGACCTTAGTTACCCACTTTGGTCAGCGCCTCCTAGCGCTGCCACCATCGAAGCTTCATCGGAGTCGTCATATACGTTGACGACTCCCAATCATCCGCCGGATACTGCGGTATCCTGGCAGTCCTTGCGGACGCCCCGGGTCCTGACAGAGGTAGGAATATGATTCGCCAATGCTCTGTCGGACTGCGCAGGGCGGCTAGCATCGATTGCCTTGCCTCGCCAGTCGATCCAAGACTCATGCTCCTCAAGCCAGGGCATGCCCAGGATCATATCGTATGGATCCATGTCGAGAACAGTGAACTGTTCGAGGCTGTCAAAGTCTTAAACTTGACGGCCAGATCCACTTGGACGTTGGGGACAGAGACGACCTTTTCGTCGGCCAGTCGCACTGACACCATCCCGTTGCCCTTGCTTTCTCTCAAAGCATCGGACAACTTGTTGCTATTACGAGCAACCGTCTGGCGGCGTGCGAAATTCTTCGACGCCCCAGAATCGATCAAGATTCTAAAGGATGGTCGTACCGCCGCTGCTCTTCGCCGAATCGAGAGTGCGAAGACTCTCAGAGGCTAATCCCCCGTAGTACGCGCCACTCACGCACCCTTCACTAAGACTATGTTCTTCCTCAGTAGAGCGCCCCGCCCCTACTGGTTTCCGGCGTTCCCCTGTCCCCGGGATCCTGGCTTCAGCCAGCGACCCTTTAGGACGGGCTTGGGGAAAGACCGTCTATGGCGTCTTTCTGCGGGACAGTGGCGCTTGAAGTGGCCCATCTTCCCGCAGCCGAAGCAGCGGATGTCACGCTGCTCGGCGGACCTGAGTTTCATGAGAACTGGCCCGTTGTGACGCGCTCGACCGGGAGCCGACAAAGAACACCCATGCCAAGCTGAGGCCGGTGTACGCGCCTGGCGATGGCTGTATTCTTCCTGAAGATTCACTTGAATCGCCTCTTCAAGAGTGTTTGACTGCACCCGGAACAGCTGAGTGCGCGCTGGGCCCACTCGAAGGCAGCCCACAAACACGGTCATCTTGATGTGTTCGTTGAGTGGGTTTCCCACTAGGGACGCCGTGGCCCCCCCATCTCTTGGACGTACTCGTGCAGCTCATGCCTCCCTTGTTTGCACGAGAGGAAGCGCGAGCGCTGGCAGTACTCGTAGCTCGCCGGGAGGAACGCGGCTCGGAGCTGTTCGCACAGCTGAGCCCAGGATGTGAAACACCCAGGAGATGTTGCCTCCCGCGTGTACACCCAACCCTTAGCACGACCGCTAGGGTTGGAGGGTGCAACAGCAGCACGAAATTGCTCGGTCGATACAGAGCCGCGTCCATCGCGAGATCTACTTCTCGGACCCCGAAGTGAAGGTTCTTGCCTCCCTTCCCTTCATACGGCTTAACCTTCAGCCGTATTAGCTTCGGGTGTGGCGGATTTGCTTCCGCCGCCGGAGCATGCAGGTTCCCCCGCACATGCGCGATGAGCCCCTGCTCGTACGCGTCAAACGCATTGACGCGCTCGAGCTGCTCGGCCGGTGTTGACACCACCAGGCTCTGCAGGGCCTCCATCCCGAATATGCCTGTCATCTTCCGAACCGACTCGAGCTGTGAGTCGTTCATATGGGAGAAGTCGTTCCTATCCATGGCAACGGCGGAGAGGTTCAGGTAGAATACCCGCGGTGGCGTGGATTGACTACGAGTGCTACCAAGTGTGACGGGGTCACACAGCACCTTGCGCTAGAGGAAGTTGGATTCCGAGAGTATACAAACTCTCAGTGAACGGCAGCTCAAAGGTCTTCTTTTATCGAAAGGGAGCGAAGTGATCAATTTAAGGTAGAATGTAAAAAAACTGAGTATATTTATAGATGGATAAAGCTTGAGCTAAATTCAAACTATAAGTCACCTATAGAAAAGCAACAATGGACGGCTTTAATACCTTGTACCAAATATCCCGAAGTATGACGTGTCACACTTCATGTAACTAGAGGTACACTTAGGGCTACGTACCCCGTTACACCTTGTTAGCAGCTCCGACAACAACGCAAATGAGGACGAGGTTGACGAGCTGCTTGACGCCTTTAATAAAGTGCGGATCGAGAACTAAGCTTTCTGCTTTGCATTACTCCTAGCCCACATGACAATATATCTTGCTGGAATTGATGGTCACTTGCCTTGTCAGAATTACCTGCTTTTTTCAGTGGTCGGCCTGATTTTTTCGTTTTCCGCGTTAGGAAATAGAGCACCATCAAATAGAGCGCCCTACCTCCACTTTCAGGTTCTTTAAAACTATAGTGGACGGTGCACTAATGCCTATTCTACGTTGGTATCCCGACTTCTAGGTGGTGTCCCTTTTGATAACAACACCCCCTAAAATGGCAATTTCACTTCAGAAGTTGCAACTTGTATATTTTTAAAAGATGGAAACTGCTAGTTATTCGGCATTAGGCAAGTGTTTCTTGGACCGAGCGGCACAATCTAAATCCTCGCATTGTGAGAACAGTTTGAAAAAAATCTAGTGTCCCTATAATTAATAGCAGCACTGTACAATAAAATGCTAGGCATAGTAGGTAAGAAAAAGATATGATGCAAGCTTTCACCAACTACACTGAATGTACTTAAGTATCTTTCAAAAACCATGCTACCCCGGTTAGACTGCTATAATACTCAGGTCCCGGAGCTCGTACGACACTCGCCTCGCAGCCTTTCCTTACTCATGTAGTACAAGCAGTTCAGAATCGGTGGCGCAGAACTGAGGTCGAAGACATCGAGGTTGGATTCCAAGTTAGATGTCATGCTATGGTTTTTGTCTCGAAAACGTTTGGCCAGTGCCGTCTGGTGCAGCAGGCGTCGTTAAGTTTTGTGCTACAGTTTAGGGTGTTAGGACATGTACACTGTCGCTTTCGACGACCGCGTCAGCGATTTGCATATGTTTGATACACCGGCGCGTCAGTGGCGCTTACTTAGCTCAATGACGTCAGCTAAGTTAGCTGACGTCATTTGCGAACGTAGAAGAACCCCCTCGAGATGAATACTCGCCGGGGTGTCGGCACAAAAAGGGACGAAGATCGACTCGACTCGACCCCTTTACTCGTGCTGGTTCTCCATTTAACACCCCGTAGTTAAAGTACCATATATTTCCACTCGACACGTACCAGTACATGGCTTTGTTGCTGTTAGCTTGGAGTCAACCGGTGCTCGACCTGCTCGACCATCTTCAGCTCACTGTGTTTGGATGCATCTGACACCATGAGGGTGACGATGCTTCGTGTTACTTCTTTGTTTCACTTCAATCATGTAAAGTTAATGTAAATACAACCCTCAAGTGAATCACGAAAAGCCGCGGTCAATCACCACTTCATATCGTTACTTAAAGATCTGCACCTTGCGATTCCTGTGGCATTGATTCACAAACAAAAACGCCGTCCGGACCGCAGGAGCGACCGATAGCTCTCGACCGTATCATGTTCCGCAAGCTCGCCGTGTCCGCCGCGTCCTCCGCCCGCGTGGGTGTTCGCCACCAGTCACACGTCGCCTCCGTGTCGATGACAGTGCCTGGTTTGTCGTCCGAGGTGCGTCACGACTGGACAAAGGAGGAGGTACAGGCCATCTTTGACCAGCCGCTGCTGGAGCTCGTGTACAAGGCCGCCACTGTGCACCGCATGCACTTTGACCCGACGGAGGTGCAGCAGTGCACACTGCTATCTATCAAGACTGGCGGGTGCACGGAGGACTGCAAATACTGCTCGCAGTCCTCTCGGCACAAGACGTTTGTCAAGCCCGAGCCCACTAAAAAGGTGCAAGAAGTGGTGGAGATGGCGCGTCGTGCGAAGGCAGCGGGTAGTACGCGCTTCTGCATGGGCTCAGCCTGGCGCGAAGTAGGCAAGAAGAACGCCTTTAGACACATCCTGGACATGGTGCGCCAGGTTAAAGAGATGGATCTCGAGGTCTGCTGCACGCTTGGGATGCTCACGAAGGAGCAGGCTGTGCAGCTCAAAGAGGCCGGATTATCGGCCTACAACCACAACCTCGACACTAGTCGTGAACACTACGCTAAGGTAATTACCACGCGCACGTACGACGACCGTCTTAAGACCATTGAGAACGTGCGGAAGGCTGGCATCTCTGTGTGTTGCGGTGGCATCCTGGGTCTGGGAGAGGAGAAAATCGACCGCGTGGGTCTGCTGCACACGCTCGCGACTATGGACGAACACCCGGAGTCTGTGCCTGTGAACGCCCTTGTGTCTGTGGAAGGCACACCGCTGTTTGACGAGGATATCGCGCCCGTCACGGCCTCCGACATGGCGCGTATGATTGCTACAGCGCGTATCCTCATGCCCAAGACGATGGTGCGTCTCAGTGCTGGTCGCATGTCCTTCACGGACGCTGAGCAGGGCATGATGTTCATGGCCGGCGCCAACTCGATCTTCAACGGCGACACGCTGCTGACCACAGCCAACCCGGCGTTCGAGAAGGACAAGCGGCTGTTCGAGAGCTTCGGACTCAAGGGCAAGCCGGCGTATCACCAAAACAAGTCCACGCCCTACATCGTCAAGGTGACGCACTCGGCACCGGCCGCGACTGAGGCTGTGGCATGAGTATGCGAACCGGTATGAAGCGTCAGTACCGGTAGGCGAGTCTGTAACCTGTAGCCTGTTAAGATTAAGTGGGGAACATCGTTATCACCGTTATGGACGCACGCATACCGGTTTGTTCAAAAGAAAAAAATCTATATTATTCACGCGTCCAACAAGCCCCCACTTTAGACCGTTTTCTTGGCTCTCTTTGTATGGTGCCGGGTCTTCTTGGTGACTGCGTTGCCGTTGGCAGAGCGTTTCTTCTTGGGCTTCTCTTCCTCCATCGCCTCGTCACCGTCGTTTTCTTTTGTCTCCTCCTCGTCAGACTCGTCATCGGGGTACAAGTCAGCCAAATCGTCCTCCTCTTCGCCCTTCTTGTTCTTTTTGGGCGTGACATCCTCCAACTCCTCGTCCGCTTCTTTGTCATCTTTTTCTCCTTCTTCTTCATCGTCTGAGTAAATGACCTGGCTGTTCTCAAACTCGAAAGCGTCGGCGTCAAAGCCCCCATTGCCCTGCAATTCGTCGTCGTCTTCGCTCTTGGTGACTTTAATCTTAACGTGCTGCTTCATGCGCTTATAGCGCTTGCCCTGTATGTGCTTCTCAACCTCGGACGGAATGCGGTTCAGGATGGTGCCCGTGACGTTGCAGTACAAACTCTTCGGCAGCCTGCGGTGCGGCACAATGTACGGCTCGTACTGTGAGTAGTCGTGGCAATACCAGTCGCGAGCCTTGACGAACTTCTTGGACTTGAGGTGCTGCTCGATGATGTCGACACGCGGAAGCATTTCATGCTGCGTCAGTTGGCACTTGACGCGCACGCGTTTGTTGTCGCCCTCGCCTGACTCAACGACCTCCAGGAACTCATGCTGGTTGAGGAGGTTCTGCGCAGCGGCGTCCATTGCTATGATTGACACAATGGACTGAGGAGCTCCAATCGATACGAAATTACCGTACTGTCGGTAAAAATAAAACTGTGTGAAACACAAGTTTGGAGGATTTTTTCTTATTAAGGTAAATTGTTGATTTACCGGTAGCAAATATTACCTATTATTATATTCTTTTACTAAAGTGATATTATTATATTTCAGTTTAATACTACCGTCTTACCGCGTACTAGACGCCTAGGCGTTCTAATGTAATAGAACGCCTACTGGGCGGTGTATTCCTGTAGTACGCCTAGGCGGAATAATTCGAGGGAGTATCTCAAATGAGACGAACGCGATCACCTAGGTGGTTTATATGAGGGAAAAGGAAAATCGAGATGAGCACGACTTCACCAGCACTGATAATGTATTATAGATGAAAGCCGTTAACCTCGAGAAAGTAGTAATGACCGATTCGAGCCATACAAATGGTTTTAACTGGGTCGTCGACGCTGTACGCGAATGCTTCGACAACACGGCAATCCTCGTCCAGAGTTTTCACTTCAATATTGCAACGATGCTTGCGAACGGCGGCAAGCAACTTAAGCTCGCCGCCTGGAATCTCTCCATCTTGTAGCGCCTTCAAATATGCTTCGTCGAAAAGGCCATCTAGATCTTCTAAAGTCTTCATGTACTGGATCAAGGAAGCCACATAATCCGGTGTGTCTGCGCCAATGCCATGCTGCAAACAGAAAAACAAGCTCCTTCGGATATCTTCAGGGATGTACCATGCCGGGTTTGCAATACACAGCTCCTCGCGATCGTCAACATTCGACACAAGAGCTTGGTATCGCTGATGCCACTCATCCATGCTGATTTCGCCACTAATAAGCTGTCTGAGAGGCGGATGCAGCATTTCCATGCTGAAAGCTGACCTACGAACAAGCCCACATAGCTCGAAAGCATGAGAAATCTCCTCACTCGTTTTGCTTGCTGCCCACTCAAGCACCCATTCGGCGACTTTAAAGTACTTTGGTACTTTTGGATTGCCAGCAGGCGTTTGAAGCGCCGAGTCACACAGTGCTTGCGCAATGTAAGTGTCATACTTGTCCCGATAGAATTCTTGAAAGCTGCGGCTAACGGCAACATCCAGCGGCTGGCAGAGACTCGTAAGGTTGGGTGGGACTAACAGCACATGAACGTTGTAGTTGCGAAGCCGTTGCTCATCAAACATTTTGACATGCGCCGCGTAGGAATCGATGATGTACAGGACGTGCTGGCGATAGAACTTTGTCTCTTGGCGACCGCAAATGACTTGTTTAGCGTGCTCTAACAAGATTTCATCGCTCCACATTCCGGAATTGTTAACGTCTACCATGACGCCTGGTGGACACACAGGTTTCTTCTTCAACTTCGAGAACAACAAGTGAGGGGTCAAGATTTGGCCGTCTCCAGTGATCGAGAATGTTGCAGTGAAGCGTTTGTGGCTCGTTCCGCCTTTTCGCAGCAAGACCTCACGTGAGCCTTTGGTTTTAATTGTTGTTTTCGGTTCAGTCTCGAAATACCTCGGAACCTGATCCATGTTAATGACATTGCAGGGTTGAATGTTGTGCTTTTCAATGAGAGCTTGAGCCTCATTGATAAAGGCAAGACAAATAGCTGCAGCATCGACCGGAAGCGTTCTGGTAGTTGTTTGGCGGCGGGACACTAGATTGTATCGGGTTTTGAAGCGGTCCAGCCACCCCGAAGATGCTTTGAATGGGTCGGGCTGCTTATCGAAGTCGACAACTACCAACTTGCTGTGAAGGTTGAGAGCTTGAAGTTGTATATACTTGTCTTTGACACGCAGTCCTTTGTTGTTTCTCTCAATGATCCACTCGTGAAGGTCCTTCTCCAGTTGTTGATGCTGTGGGTTTCTACCTGCTCCAGGCAGACGCCGAACTGTTCGTGTCGCTACTTGTCGGTCTTTGGAAGCGGCATGAAGCTTCTCTCGGTTGCGGTGCCAATCGCGAACCAACGATGGAGACGTCAATTCGTACTTCTTAGCAAGCGCGTTGAACCCACACCCTTTAACGTTGAACTTGTACTCGCTGATTACATGCAGCTTGAACTGTAGGCTATAGCTGGAGCGTTTTGAAGGCATGCTTGTGCGTGTTTTTGAGCAAAATGGGAACTGCCAAGGCACTGAAGGAGGCAAAACCAGCTCGGTCGGACAGCGTCGGCCATCCATCGGCAAAACCAGCTCGGCCGGCCAGCGCCGGCCATCCATCGATGAACACAAGTTTCAGCTTGCCGTATGTGCTACTACCACATGGTCATGCTAGGCGTTGTATTTGAATAGGCGTTCAATACGAGGGATTCTTCTCTCCAAAATGATTTTGACTTGATCGTATTAAACGCCTAGGCGTCTAGTACGCGGTAAGACGGTAGTTTTATTTTTCAAAGATTGTGAAGACTCCACCAGCCATACCGGTATGTCGTTAAAGCTCGAAGTTTTACTATTAATAATCAGCGGTGAGTCTGACGGCAGCAGGGTCTGATACCGGTAACCAAATATCATATGATATTTTACAAGTAGTAGCATTATTATTAAAATTTAATAGTAATAGTAGCTCATGTTCTTGGAGCTAGCGTAATATTTTAATATTAACTCGGATATGTGAAAAATATTAGATACTGAATGATATTTATAATATCTCCCACTTATGTACGTTTCTTTCCCTGTGAACCGAGGGCTCACAAAAGAACCCTTTTGGGCAGGCTCTCGAACAGCAGTAGGCTTTAAAACTGACGAGTATTTGCTCTAGTATTTCAGTGTGACACAGACAAAGACGATCGAGATGGAAAACTGCAAACGGTTGCAGTTGATTAATGTCGATAGAGCGAAATAAAGGTATTTGTTCTCATCGTGCGTCTATAAACCTGCAGCCTGTAACGCTAGATTAATGCGCTCAGCAGTGCCAACACACGACGCCAATCTTGCCGTCACTCTCAAAATTGTCCCGGACTCTATCTCCCTCACGGATGATTTATAATACTTCAGCTAGTCGAACGCTAACGACATCTGGTTGGTGGATTTAACAGATGACGCAATCTTTTAAAATATAATATCGCTTGAACTAATTTGAAGTTGATATTAAATGATATCATTTTGTCTCAGAAGAAAGTATTAGGTTATATTTTTATATTAGCTGGTCTACACGTGATATTTTTAGAATATTAACTTCACCGATTTTGGAGTGACCATTAACCCCTGACGGCAAGGTTGGTGTTGTGTGTTGGCGCTGCTAGGCGCATTAATCTAGCGTCACATGCTGCAGGGTTATTAGACGCATGATCTAGACGAGGTTATCAGCAGATAACATTAACAAACTTTTGTTTTTCGCTCTATCGACTTTAAACAGCTGCAACCGTTTGCAGTTTTCCATCTGGATCAGCTGTGTCTGTGCCACAGTGAAATACTAGAGCAGATACTCGTCAGTTTTAAAGCCTCCATTCACTGCGGCTGATTTAGAGCCTGACCAAAGAGTTCTTTGGTGAGTCCTCCGCTAACACAGGGTAAGGTGGCAAGAAACGTACTTAAGTAGGAGCTCATAAATAGTACTTAGTATTTTTCAAATCTCCGAGTAAATATTAGCATATAACGTTAACTTGTGAAAACTAAACTAGTATTTATAAAAAAAGTCTTGATAATACTACTAGACTATCGAACTTGTCATCCTTTCATGCTTTTTTATTACATGTAGCTGCTGGTATTATAGCCTGAAGTAAAAGGTACCCGGAAACAAGAGTATACTACAGTATGGTTTAACGGATTGATCGTGCCTGTATCATCGTTTACGTGATTGGTCACAAGGGTATCCTGTCAAGCGGGGCATCAGCTCTGCTCTAAATCCGGAAGCTTCGATTTTGAATGGCGTTAGTGCACCTTTAAGCCACTTGGGCGCCCTTTACTGCAAGCGTTAGGGCGCCCTAAAGCCTTGGGCGCCCTTATCGCTAGGAATAAATAACCGTATTTTAAAAAATTGATGCGAAGTATCACCATAAGCGTTATTGTCAATCTTGTCGGAGATGCATTAACACATAAGAAGAAGAAGACGAAAAGCACAAGTAGGAAAGGGAAAGCGACTTATATATATATATTTATTGTTTAACAAAACCACGAATGGCTACAAGATTATTGTGGAAGCAGCATCTTACTAACCTCTTGGTCCGTCTTCTGCTTTTCCTTCAATTTTTCCTCACTGTGTGGCACCAGCTTCGTCGTGCACGGCAACAACCAGGCTAGTCTGAAGCCGCATCACGCTTACATAAGCTTCGGTCACCCGATGGCGTTCAAATCGATGGGTGTTGCGCAAGTGTGCGTACACAATACCCAGGACCATTACTCCACAGCTTTTTAAATCAGGTTGTGAGGGCTTGTCGATCCACTTCGCGATAATTTCCTTCGGAAAAAGCTCTTTTGCACCGCAGGCACTGTGCCATTTCTCCAGTTATGGCAAAAATGAAATTTTCATCATCTTCCAGTTCTTTTCAGTAGCACTCCTGGTGTAGCGGCTCATAGAAATACACCTTCAGTACATGTATTGTCGGAAACTGTTGTCGTGGTGGGGAATTGGAAAGTGAATTGATGAATTAGACTGAGTGCACTATTTTGAACTAGAGGAGCGTATACGTTAACAGAAACGCGATCTCCACAATAATGACCCCCCCCCAGTGGTTCGAGCTTAAATTTATGGGCATAACCACAAAAGGTGTCTCTGATAACCGCTGTCTTGGTGGTTCAGGCCACCCAACAGCCAATGTCAACGAAGAAAATGCGATGCAGCCGTCCACACTTGCAATCATTCTGATTCCGAAATCAATCACGGCGTCGTTCAGCAATCCGTTGCGTAGAACTCCAGAGACAACGTCAAAAAATACGATGACCGTCGTGTTGATTCTGCATTTGCGACAGATTTTGTCGTGAAAGTGGCGCGTCTATTCAAAGACACGTGAGAAGGGAATTCATATACTTATAAAAATTTAGAGTTATA